GATGATGATGATGATGATGATGATGATGATGATGATGATGATGATGATGATGACGTGATAATGATAATGATGATGATGATGATGATGATGGTGATGACGGCCTTTTTTTATCTTTATGACTGAAGTCAGGAAGGAAATGATTTATTTCAAATGTTTTTAGTTTGGTTTTTTGAGAAACTCAAATGTATCATATACGAAATGCAGGGAAACAACATTTCTATCCGAAAGTTGAAAGAAGGGAAAAAAAATAATCAGAGCATCAAATAGCGGTTTGGGTGAGTCTTGAGACGCAGGAGTAGAAGAGCACAGGTATTTCTAGGGCCGTGTAATGCGGCTCACGATAGGGAATGAGCAAATAAGACGTGAGTTCGATTCCAGTGTCCTGAAGTTGTTTATCATTTATCTTTGTCTGTCAGCTGGGATGTTATGTTCCCCTGGGCCCGGGCTGGCTTTGGACAGGCAGGGTCAAATCAACCCGCCTAAAAATGGTAAAATTGTATTTCTGGTGCTGTAAAGTATTTCAGACTCCTCCCACCCCATCCCCTGCACTTTGCAATCCTACCCCATCCCCAAAAAGAAAATGAATACCTTGCAGAGTAGAGGAAACATCTGCCTGAGGAAGGCAAGGGTATATTTCGGACCCAATTTAATTTCAAACTCCAGATTATCGCGATTTTGACAAGTTCACCATCAAACTTTATTGTATTTTCAAATTTCGACGAGTCATCTAAGTTTAGACGTATCCTGTTGAGAAGAGCACTTTCAAACATGGATGGATACATACATCCATAGAAATTTGCTGGAGGTAGGGACAATCTCGAGCTTGTTATGTCATTGCAGCTAAAAAAATGAGATGATCATTAACGAAGTCCTCGGGGAATTGTTTGTGCTGACATCTTCCCTGAAGGCATCCAGTCGTCTCTATTTGGGATAATTATTGCAAGCTTCATTTGATGACATAATCGTTTTTGACTCCTCAGGCAGCGGACAGAATCAGGTCACAAATGATTTTTTTGCCTTGGTCGAAAGTACAATTTTGGCTATTAAATGAGTGTACATACGTTCATATGTACATACGTACTTACAAGAATAAATACGCACTTTAATACATACATACATACACACACACACACACACA